AAAGAAAGAAAGAAAGAAAGAAAGAAAGAAAGAAAGAAAGAAAGAAAGAAAGAAAGAAAGAAAGAAAGAAAGAAAGAAAGAAAGAAAGAAAGAAAAGCCACGGAGAGTGTGTTGATTTTCTGCAGCACAGACACTGCATCCAGAAAAACAGCTGTGATTGACATCATCATCATCTGATCAATTTACTGTAACCCACAGTCATTCTCTAAGACCACTGGCTTTTGTGCCAAATAAGCAAGTTAAATGGAAATATAATACAAACGCAGTATTCTTGCATCTTTTAAGTCTTTGATGTTGGTATTGATCTCTCTAATCCCCAGAAATGTGGTATTGCTTCTAGAATGCTATTTTAGCATGGAAAGTGGTAGGGGAGAAAGACAGTTCTAGTGTCCTCTACTGCTATAGTACCATAACCACCTTCATGACACAGGTCAGTCTACCAATATAGGGATTCTGCCTGTTACTAAGTATATTAACTCCCAATATACATTCAAGACTTGGAAAATAACCACATCCTGGTCTCACAGTACCAATGCATCTCCTATGAAACAGAAACCAAACAGGATGCCATCTGTCACTTCACTTCCATAAATTCCTGAGACTGACTGGTGGACTGTAGTGGTACTTATAGTCTCCAAGGATAAGTATCAGATCAGAGCCAGAACCTACTATCCTTTTCAAAGGTGTGTTACCTTTCCTCATCACATGCTTTCCCTGGTAAGTAGCCATTAGTTCGGTAGTAAAGGCTTGAAGGAAGATGCATACTGTACCCTTATGGCCGCACTACAAAATCCTGCAAAAGGACTCAGCCTCTATCACAATTAACAGGCTCCAGATCTATAGATCGGCTTATGTCTGGGAACTTTACAGAAACTCAGAATCTCTAATATAGTGGTTCAAGTTGGGCCTCTGCCTATCAGATAGAAATTGAAACAGGATACTGTACAAACTTTCCATTCGTGGGTACCCCAATTAGCATCACAGATCTCTATGACTTGCAGTATTCTCATTACTACTCTTCCCTACCACTTATTTTGGTAATTTTTCCACCAAGCTTGGATGATTGTATGCCAACATCCGGCCTTTACCATCCCAGGTTGCCATGATTCCTTTGAAATCAGGCAGTTCATTTCCATTAAAGCATCTCCACCCGCAATCATCTTCAGCCACAGCAAACCTTTTTCAGCATTCTGGTTCTCAATACCTCAGTGATGAGAGGGTCCTCGAGGCCTTTATAGAGGCTATAGTTAAAGGATGAATGAGTAGGCTGCACGCTATCAGCTCCAACATTCCTATCTCTCAGAGCCTTCAAAATTCTTCCCCGACAAAATGTCAGGGATTTTTCAGCATCTCTGTGTTATTAACTGTAAAATCAAATCCAGGCTTCAATTAACCAACCTGGAAAATCGTTAATGCCATTCCTAAAGTGTTTGAGCCAACACAGTAAACCCTGTATCTTATATAAGAACATCTATATTGATAAATTCAACCTGATCTAATCTTATATTTTACCTTTCTTAATCTAACACCCTTAAAAACCCCTTCCCCAATGTGCTTCACAGACACATGTGATACAAGTTGACAGCATACTGCAATTTCTTCAGGGCATGGTAATTTTCACTGGGTGCAGTTATCGCACCTCTCCATCCAACTTATACTGATCATGCGATCGATTCTTTGACCTCCACTTGTCTATAAGTTCCAGAGTAGATTGTGATTGCTTTCACACATCACTTTTCCACACAGCACTTAATATGTACTCATTGTTAAAAGAATGAATATATATATATATATTCATTATTTTAACAAAGAATATATATATATATATAATATATATAATATATATATATTAATATTTTATATCCCTAATATTTAAATTATTACTTGACACCTAAATATTGGCAAATAATTAGTGCTAAATATATTCACAAAAAAATTACAATAGCCAATACGATTTCACAAGTGAATGGTGAAAAGGCAGCTAAAAATGATAAACATTTATTGTACATCAAATAAATTAGCTAAAGCTAAAGAACTAGAAAATATGGGGGAAGAGTCACCTCACACATTTCTAGTGAGCATTTAACTGACAGTCATTTTTTAAAGAAGAAAATTTGACAATATTCATCAAAATTTCATAAAACAAATCTACACTGACACATTTATACATTTAAAAAATTATTTTAAGGTAATTATACAAATACACAAATAGCTATCTATGGTCATCAAAACTTCTTTTATAGTATTAAGAATTAGAAACAAAATATCCATCAATAAAAGTCTGATTAAGTAAATCATGGCATAAAGAATACTAGGCAGCTTCTTGCTCTTTTGGCTAAGAGCAAGTGTAAAGAATTAATACTATGCAAGTTACAAATGATGCTGTATATATATATATATATATATATATATATATATATATATATATATATATATTTATATGGAAAGTGTACATGATAGAATCTAAGTGAAAAAGTTAACAATAGCATATACATTGTTATCTCATCTAGTCTTGAGTGAGTGTGTGTATTCTGTATGTAACTATGTCTATTGAAAAATATATACCAACATGTTAACATTGGTTATTTCCAGATTGTAGGATTGGGTTATTTATATTTTTTTCTTGGTAACTTTTTTGTTGTAACCAAAACATTTAAAATAATCATGATATTATTCCTATGATATAGTTATTTCTACTATGAAAAACAAAAATTTTAAGTAGTTGTGGACTTTTTCTCTGACCCAAACTGATTTAATTGATCAAATCAGTCTTTTCATTATTTTAAATACCATGTCTTTCAAAGTGGGCAATCAAAAGGTATTTCTATGGAAACTTAGTCTCTTTTGGAGTGAAAAAGGAAAAATACATCAAAATATAAAAGTTAAAATGAAAAGCACATAAAAAAACATAGTCAATGAGAGTTATATTGAGGTACATACTAAAAAAGAGATTATACAAATAAAGTTTGGAAAATATTAATGAAATCAATATATCATGAAGAAATGTGGGAAAAAAATTTGAAAGAAAAAGTCATTTAGTAAAAGCTCCAATGCTAATTGAAAAAATAGTATGCAATACCTTAATGTTACAAATTATACTGTGTTATAAAGGCAATAATCAAGAGAGTTCCTTCACTGGAAAAAAATGAAATAAAAATAGTAAAATTGGATGCTGCCAACTAAGATACAGCATTGAAATTTATTATCTAACACTTTACTTTCAATGAAAAGCAACTGGAAGTCTACAAGATTCTGAGTAATAAAATTAATAAATCAAATACTTTTAAAAGTACAATTTTCCTCACAAGATACTGGGAAACTCAAAGCAAAGATACCGTATACTTCAGTATTCTAGTTCTTCAATGTCTAGGAAATGGGTTTGCAAATCATCAAGGAAAAATAAAAACCAGAAGTATTTATTCAAAAATAAAGAAAAACAAAAGATAAATCTGTTATCTCCCAAAGTTCATGGCAGTTCTTGAAATGCATTTTTCAACACACATATAAAAAAATCATTTGCTTTCTCTGTCTCATAGATCCTCCTGTTTTATGTGTTATAATTACAGTTCAATAAAGAAATAGTTTCCCTGACAAAATCTTTCTACTGGGAGAGGGGAAGCTGAAAGAAACCAATTCTCTATTCACTTGACAGCCTAAATTTCCATAGGAAACAAGGTTCTATAAATTTTAAACCACTAACCAATGGTCACACAGTGAATACTCCTGTGAGGAGTTATATCAAACTGTTATCCTAGTGTTAATAGTTTTTGAACATTGCATTTATATTCACAGAGAATGGAGATAAATAAAATAAATTCAGCTTTCTTTTACAACACTGATGTTAGAAGAATGAGTTGTACCTGGTTTTCCTGCACGTAATTTCTGTTCTTCATTGTCATCATGATGTCCAGTTTTCCTCTGATTTAAAACTTCCTGAAAGAACTGGGCAGAAGGATCTTCATCAAATGACCCTTCACACAAGAGCAGATCTCCTGGGTTTACACATTCTGCTTTTTTTGTTGTTGAAACTTCTACCTAAACCAATGAAAAATGTATCTAAGTATGCTTTACTTAATTTTCTGTATCTTAAAATACAGGTCATATTAATTATTAGGCATTCTGAATCACACATTATTTTTTAACTTAGAATAGAATATTTTTAAGTTTACTATTTATGTGTTCTATTGACTTCTTTAAAACTGCATCAGCGGTTATAAACAGCCTATTCAGAAATTATTAAAACTAAAGCCTGGAGAACTAAGGACTTATCACTATGTTATTCACCAGTGTTCTCCCTGGAAAGTGACACTAGCCTTGTATGCAAGAGTCCTACTGCAATTTCCTGATCTTGCAACGTCCCCACCGCAGAAAGAGCAGTTTTTTAACAGGTACATTTCATCACATCATGCTTCTGCTCAAAACCCTCTAATGACTCTTTATGAAGCCTCCAGATCCTATGAAGACTTACAAGGGCTCACACAACCTTGTACTCCCTGCCTTTTACCCCACTTCCTTCAATTCTCCCCTTCACTCACCCTGCTCCAGCCAAACTTATATTCTTACAATTCTGGGAACCCATCCAGCACCCTACTTGAGTGCCTTGCACTAGATGCACCAATACCTGGAATGATCCCCCACATCTACACACAGCCATTCTATTCATTTCATCCAGTTTCTGCTCTCGGAGTAGGTGACGGCCCTACTGATGAGCATAAAAACATAGCCCCTTTCTCACTCACTTTCTAATCCCTTCTCTACTTTATTTTTCTCAAATAATTTATTCCTGTTTGAATTTAGTCTACATGTTTATTTGTTTACTGCTTGTCTCTCCCCATTAGAATGTAATGAGATCGGGGATTTTTTCCCCCGTTAGTGCCAAGACAGTACCTGACACAAAGTAGGTGCTCATGAAAAGTTAGTTGAATGAATCAACAAATAAATGCATATGAAACATTGCATGCTTCTTAGCATAATGATGGGGAAAGGATGAATTCAGTAAAAATATAGATCCATTGTGAACACACAGAGGAAAATAAAGGTAGGATTAGGCAGCTATCCAGTGAATCAGAGAAAACATCTTATGTGCATTAGGAAGCTAAAACAAAATAGATCCTACACAATGGTGAATTATAGCAAATGTGGATTACCTATACTGATCAAACTGCTATACCCCCATTGTGTATTTTCTAGATACAAGGGTAGAATCCTTTATGTTCAGCCCTTAATTGCAAAATAACAGGCAGATTGTTAGAGTGCAATTGAGAGAAGATTGTTAAATGTGTGTACAAAAAATGTTAAATATAAACAAAAAGCATCCGGGAACCCGCTAGACACTATGCAAGCTGTTGGTCACAGAAACACAGGTTAGTAAGCTCACAGTAGAAACAGGCCTAAGGAGCAGATACTTAAGTCAGATAAACAAGGATTGTATGGGCAAAGTGTGGCAGGGGCAGGATTCCAGAGCAAGGAAATGATATATATGCTAAGACACAGAGTCAAAGAGCACCGTGGCATGAAACTGTAAGTAGTTTATATTGGTACATCAAAGAGTGAGGTGTGAAAAAACATAAAGGGTGGAAAGACAAGCAGGGGCAGATCATAATGGGTCCTGCCTGACATGCAAAGGAAGTTAGACTTACACTTATTGGAAACATGACGCCACTGAAGAGTTCCACACGA